ATATTTGTGTAAAATAGATTTTATTAACAATGAAACAGAAATACTTCTTTCCTTTTACAATGTTCACACGAACAGTATGTTTGATACTTTTCACTGTGATACTTATCTCTCTTTGGTTAACTTGTGTTCAGGGTTACTGATGAGGAGTAGAATTCTCTGAAACTAGTATAACCCAATAACACACATTGATCAAAGTGTAGATTGAACTGGACCTCCTTTGAACTTAGAGTTCAAAATTAAACAATTTTCTGAATACAAAGTTTATCTATTATAACTCACTGATACAACGTTTTCATTTACTGTTACTAATTACATCAGCCATCAAGTTTAAATTGCTCCTCATTTTGGACTCAACCTAAAAAAACCATTTATGTTATCTGTAGCATCAACATGCTTTACTAACAGGACAGATTTACAACATAACAAATAACATTTACCAAACTATTCAAATTCATTAACAATACCATGTTCTTACACCAAGATTAAGAACAAAAGATACAACAGTAACAAAACTAGTACCTTGTAAGTCAAGCTCTGTAATATTAACAAAAAAATGTGGCATTGATGTATGGTTATGGTTTAGACAGTATGAATTGATAAAATCTAAAATTCGTAATGGATCACTAAAACTTTAAAAATAATTTTTCTACTGCACCAAAGAATCACATTTACACTTATTTGTGTTTGCTATAAAGCTTTTTGTTTTAACTTTAAATTGTATTTTTATTCTACTGCTTTAAGTAACATAATTCATAATTGGTTTGCTGTAGACCTTGTTTTAATTTTGGAATTTATTTATTTTTACTGCTACTTCAAGGAATTCATAATTATTTGTGTTTGCTTTAGACTTTTTTTGATTGTTTAACTTTATAATTTATTTTTTAAATTGTACCAAGGATTCTAATTCATAATTATATTTGTTTGCTGCAGATCTTTTTATTTTTTACTTTAAAGTTTAATTATTTTATGAACTGCATCAAGGAATCTCATTAATAGTTATTTATGTTTGCTGTAGACTTTCTTGATTTTTGTTTTAACTTTAGATTTTAATTTTTCTACTGCATCAAGGAATCTAATTTGATTGGTTTGATGTACATCTAGAGATGTTCAGTCCAGATTCTCCTTCTGCCAATAATGAAGTCCTTTTGCACCATATTTGTCAGTGTAGAGGCCCCTAGCACGGTGTCATCCCTATTTCCCAACCCTAAACCATGGGAAGCAACTGGGCAGCAATCACTTTATTATTTATTATCTAAATCATAATTATTTGTTTTTGCTGTGAACCTTCTTTGAGATCTTTTTGTATTGTAATTTATATTCAAGGTGCTTAACAATGTGTATATATGGAAATATTCTTTCATACAAGTGAATACATTTACCACTAATAGTGCTGCACAGTGCAAGGATTTCAAGGCTATTTCAGTTTGAAATATTATTAACTTCTTATTATGAAGCAATAAACTGTAACAGATTTTTTAAATTTTCAGAAATTTTAACATCTCCTAGTTTGATTTCTAGTCTGCTAAAATCAGCAACCTCAATCTCATGTTTTCTGTTAATCTCCATAAGATTTGGTTCCCTGCAAAATTGAAAAGTTATAAATATTAATTTCTACTAATTTATATAAAATTAAACTCCTATAAAAAAAACATTTAGGCAAACTCATGAATGAGCCAAAAAATCATTACATCATATCAGTCTAAACAATGTTAAGCTCAGAGAAAACTAACTTTGGATATATTAATTTGGCAAAGTTATTTTTATCAGACAATTTTCTACAGCACTTGTTTCAAAAATGTTTACTGAGAGAAAAATTTATATTTTTAACTCTGGCAATCTGTTAATAGCCAGGATGAAACTGATTAAAAGTCCTGATACCTCTGTTAGTAGAGCATTACCCCCAGAAAACATTTAAAAAGACTTACCCATGATATCTTGTATAGTAGTGCATAACCCCATTATGCTAATGTAAGCTGATTTCTGACACTTCATTTAGTACAGTACCACCCAGAGGGAACTTGAACCCTGGCATCTTATCTAGTGGAGCATCAAACCCTGGGTGCTAATGTAAGTAGTAGTTCAGTAGAGCATCACCCATAGGGTGATAAACTGAGATATGACACTTCGCCTAGTAGATCTGTGCCCTTAGGGTGCTAATATAAGGGGACCCGATACTTTTTTATTAGATCATCAACCTCATGGTGCTAATGTAAACTGAGCCCTGACACATTGTTTAGTAGACTGTTGCCCTTAAGGTGCTAATATAAGGGGACCTGAAACTTTGCTTATTAGATCATCAACCTCATGGTGCTAATGTAAACTGAGCCCTGACACATTGTTTAGTAGACCGTTGCCCTTAGGGTGCTAATATAAGGGGACTTGATACTTTGTTTATTAGATCATCAACCTCATGGTGCTAATATGAGGGTATCTGATACATTGCTTATTAGATCACCAACCTCATGGTGCTAATATAAGGGGACCTGACACATTGTTTATTAGATCATCAACCTCATGGTGCTAATATGAGGGGACCTGATACATTGCTTATTAGATCACCAACCTCATGGTGCTAATATGAGAGGACCTGACACATTGTTTATTAGATCATCACACTTTGGGAAAGGGGGGTAATGAAAGTTGAGCTCTGTTCTTTCCCTGAAAGGAGCTGAAGGCTACCTGGAGGGGCCACCTGTTTTATCCACTTACTCCACTATTCATTTTTGTCAGTTGTCAGTCAGTGAGTAGACACTAAAATGACATCACATAAGGGATGCTTGACATTGCAATTTGTACTGTTCTGATGTTAGTAAAACATGGGCATGCCATGAACAACGAGAAAAAATATGCACTCTGTAGACTACAACACAGCATTACATGAACTTTGAAAGCAAGAAACAAAAATATTGTTGCGTCAGCGAGTCACATGACTGGTGTGACGCCACGTTTCTAGAACTATCCCGTATCTTGGCGAATGCTCTAGTATTTACTAGATGGAGGGTAGACTGGTATATAAAAGGGGGTACAACGTGACAAGATTAATGTAATGTGTGTGTAGACAGTGAGTAATTGAACTGCAGTCACAGGGTATTGTTGAAGTTAACGTTCGTTCGTTCGTGATACTGTTTGTTTTAGCGCGAATATTGAGATTAAGTGTATCCAGAGTTATATTCGGAAAGAATAAACCGAATTACTTGTGTCGCTAAAGTTTTGTCGGAACGAAGTTACGGGAAGTTAATTAACAAATGGAGACGTAACAAATTGGTGTCAGAGAGTGGGACAGAAAAAAAAATGGAAACGAGAAGCGGCAAATC